TTCCCCCAAACCTCTGCATCCATCATCTTGAAATTTGGTACAGATCATACTCTCTGCAGGGGCTACCATCTCTGCATGTTTCATCCAAATGAGCCAAAGGACATCAAAGTTATAGATATTTCATTGATTCCCCATTATACTCTATGGCCGAATCGCCGAATCGGCTCTGAATCTTTTCTGAAGCGATTCAGAAGCTCCAGATCTATTCAGAAAGCCTGAAGCTTCCAGTGATTCAATTCGGATTTATAGATTTGGCATCTGAATCATCTCTGAATCCGAATCATGATCCGAAGCTTTGCAAAGCCCTACTGCCCAGCCTACCTCTACTGTGGGGGCTCTGCACGGCATACCTGCAGTGCCCACACTCACACTGGGGGAGACCCCACACTGGACTCTGCAGGGAAGTGGGGTGGGGCTCCCTCCCCAGCAGAGTCTGGGAACTTGTGTGATGGGGGCAGGGAAGGCAGCTGGCTCCTGCTGCTTCTGCTGCTGGCAGTGGGGGCTGCATGCCATGTGGGGTGGTGTGTGGGGGTTCCCCACACCCTTCACCCTCACTCACACCCGCACCCTGCCCAGCTGAGCTCCACACTCCTGCCGCCCCCCTGGATGTGGGCTCCGAGCTGCTCTCCATGCTTCCACCCAACTGTTCCATTGCCCCCACCCCAGGACCCACCCCTGCCACTTCCCTACCTGTGACCCAGAGCAAGCAGGACACAGGGGAAGCCAAGCAGGTTCCCATGGTGGTGGCTGCAGCAGTGGCAGCAGCAGCCCCACTTGGAAGCTGTGTGCTGGTGGGGCCAGGCCCTTCCACCCACCGGGGTGGGAATGAGGTGCAATTCTGTATGTTGTGGGGTGTGCATATGTGTAAGCACTTTGCTCCCACCCTTGTGAGTCGAATGGCTGTGCAGGGCACAATTCATTGGTGAGCACTGTCGGCTGGATGAAAGTGCCTGGTGGGATGGATGCAGCCCATGGGCCATATTTTGCCTGCCCCTGGCCTACATGATCCACAGTTCAACTTGCAAGAATCATTTAAATAGAAACAGTGAGACCCAAATGAAACAGAAATTCTTCATCTAGACCAGAATAATGACAATGCCATTAGTGATAGATGATGCAATGACTCCCATTATAGGGGTTGGCGATGCCCTTTCTGATCCTGCTTTGTGGCCCAATATAATACCCCAAATTGGAGATCTGCCAGCGACCAATGGTCCACCAAATGTAAAGATCATGTATTTTCCTCTTGATGAGCAGAATCACCATTTTTCTATGATGTTTTTATACAGAAATCTTGAAAACAGTGAAGTTCTGAAGCAGCGCTACCTGCTTTACTCTGAGTCCACTGACAAGGTTTTCTGTCTGTGATACAAGCTCTTCAACTTGAATCCAAAATCATCCCTTTGGGGCCTTCTGTATAACATGACAAAGAAGCTTTGAAGAAGCACTGTAAGGACCTTCATTGCACATTGACATATGGAGAGCAGGGCTGTGTGAAGCTTCAGTCCCTGACTCGATTTGGCAGAGATTCGACCCAATTTGGTGGCCAAATCTCCAAATGTGAATCGAATCAGAGCACCCTTTAACCTCTCCAAATCAAATTTGACTTGATTTGGAGAGATTCGGAAAGATTCGGCAATTCGGACATAGACACAGCTTTAAATGTTTTTTCTTCATACCTCTAGGTAGCAGGCGGCTCATGAATGCTGTGATGTTGGGGTGCATGGAACATCCCAAAGAAGTGCAGGGGGCTCCCCAGTGTGTTGGGCAGCAGACCCAGAAGTGGACCAGAAGTACTTCTGGTCCACTTCTGGGTCTGGTAGGGAGCATGCAGGGCCACTCCCCCAACCCCCTGGCTAAGCAACTGGTGCCTTCTAGGTCCAGGCCCCACCCCCATGGCCAGTTGCTGAGCCAGGAGAGCATGGGGGGGGGGGGGGGGGGGGGGCCCCCCCCGGGCGGGAAGTGGACTGGAAGTACTTCCGGGTTTGCTGCTGAGCATGCAGGGCCCTGACCCCTGTGCTTCTGTGGGACGCTCCATCTGTCCCAGCATTTCAGTGTTCATGAGCTGCACCTGGTACCTCGAGGTATATAGGAAAAACATTTAAAGTTGTGTCTATGTCTGAATCACTGATTCTCCACATCAGCATTGAATCTTCAGATTCGCATTCAGCTGATCAAATTGGTGACAGTGATCTGAATCAACGAATCGACTCACTGTCCCTGATTCAGGCCAAATCCAAATTAAATAGTGCCCATTTCACACACCCCTAATGGAGGGAGCTCTGACATTAACGGTGTTGACCTCTGCAGAGCACTTGGCTATCTCACAGATCTACTTATAGTTTCATACTAGGTAGGATCAGGATGGACCTGATCAGATCATCTAGCTTGACCCCCTGCCACAGGCAGGAATGAATGCTGGGCTCACAAGACCCCAGACAGGTGATCATCTAACTTCCAGTGCTCCTCAAGAAGTTATACAATTTATTTACAACAATGAACTTCATGACAACTTCCCAAACACATGGATAGTACTCAGGATCTTGTTAACCATGCCCATAATGGTGGTGAGCTGCGAATACAACTTCTTGAAGTTGAAGCTCATAAAAACATGTTTGTGATTGACCATGGGAGAAGATACACTATCTTTGCTGGCTCGACATCCTGTCTGTCAAGAATATTGTGTCTCAAAATACAGACCTGTCCAAGTTTGCAGCAGCAAAGGCATGCAGAGTTGTCTTCTGAGTCTTGGAATCTTGGTGAACAGTTTTTTATTTGTTATTGTTACTTCTTAGTTTCATGTTTAATATAATGTTTAGTTTTTTTGTCACATGCTAGAGAAAGGAATTACACATAAACCAGTATAAGTGATCGGAAACCGGCTCAAATCTGTGACACGACAGAAATACAGTGCACATAAACCACTTTAAAAATGGCCAAAACCTGATAAACCTAGGTGGATGTAGTCTCAGACTTAACTGATTTAGGTTAAATCAGTTTATTAAACTTCTGTGCCAGATCCCCTCCAGATTCAAGTTAACATACAGTCCCAGGATGCTTTGAACTTCCCCTGCAACTCCCTCCCTAGCCTTGGCTCAAATTGTCTGCTCCAGCTGAGCATGAAAATGTGCTCTATTGCCCCCCAGCTTCTGGCCTGAGCCACTGCAGGTATGTGATTGCATTTCCTGAATCAGAAGTGAATGTCTGTTGACTTACTTATCAGTTTAATCAACACAGCTTAGACTACTAACCTGCAAAGATCAAATCAATTCAGCTTCAGGCTTATTGACTGTCTGTACTTAGCCTTGGCTATAATATTATTTTTTATGACATATAATTTATTATTAGAATAAAATTGAATTGAGTTGAATTGAATTGAATTGAATGTTGAGTAATTTCCTCTTTTGTATTTTTTAGTAAATTATAAACAACTTTTGAGCTGAAATGGGGAAGGAGGGGAGGAAGGCGCCAAAAGACAAATTCAGCCAGAGTGCCATTTTCCCTACCTCTAACTCTGCTTCTGGGGTCTTATGCAGTAAGCTTACCCATTTTATGGATCTTTCCTGCAGAGACCTTGTCTGTCATTTTAGCCACAGGAGGAAAATTGTGGGAAGATCTTGAAGGGTTATATCATCATTTGAGTGGCTTAGCTTGTGTTCTCATTGCAAAGTGGATGAGTTACCAACCCAAATGAAAGCTGCACACATATTTTAGTTGACTGCCCCAAATGAGCCTGAATTGAATGTACCACCAATGTGGAGTCAGATATTTTTGTGTGTGGGTAGAGCTCAGGTTAGCATTAACACCCATGTAAGAACCTGAATTAATTCTGCAATGAAGGCATTCCCAAGAAGGCCTGTACAATTACATGCAATGAACTGACACACTGGTCTCCCTTCTGGTACTATTTCTGCTTTTGTGCATCTAATGTAGGGTCCAATCCTCATTTAATTTAACTATCTTCTACAGTTTTCAACAGAACCTAAATTCCCCCGTTAGATGAAAACCTACTGAAGGCAGGCATTCTGGGATATTGGTGTATTCTTGAGGTATCTCAAAATGTGGATCCAGATTATAATTTTAATGTCCTCAGATATGGGTAGGGATGTCAGATCTGGAGGTGGCTTGGCCAGCCATAAAGACATTAATACAAGGGTATGATGTTCTGATGAAGGTCCTGAGCCATGTCTAAATTCATTTACCACCTCAGGAGTGCAGTCATCTGGGATTCTGATTTGGTTCAATTCTATCTAAATTTATGGAGCATGTGGAAGCCTCTCTTGTACTACCAGCAGACCATTCTGTACCCAGCTTCTGATACTATTCGCTCTCTTTGCTCTCCTGCCATGCCTTTGATAGAAAAGCAAATACAAAGAAAGAAAACAGATTTTGGGAGGTGATATTTCCTAATTATGATCTGGATAGCAGCTGTGGGTTTCTTTACAGGGCTCCTCCACCCCTACACCCTGTCCTCACCACACCTGGGATGTTCTGGGCATATGATCCTTCTGGACCTTTTCTTCCCCTAGATCCAAAAGATGCAGGGGTGGAAACAGTCCGGTTCTCTCCTTCTCCAACTTTTCAACTGTCACCTTTAGAGGCACTCTAGTTCCTTCCTTTCTCTCTTTCTTTCTCTTGGCTGTTCTCTCCACAGCCTAGACTTATTGCCGGCAGTGCTACCAACTGTCTTTACTTTCAGTCAGTCAGTCTCAGGTGATGGCCCTCCCTTGCTCTCTAAGCTATTTTCTCCACAGCCTAGGTGTCTCACTGGCAGGACTACCAGCTCCCTTTTATTTCAGCCCATCAGTCCTGGCTGCTGGCCCTTAACTTCTCAGGGTTCCCAGCATCTGTCAGTCTTCCTGACATTTGTATCCACCACCTTAAGCCCCAAGTTCCCCAAAGTCTCCCTTCCTACTTGGGACAAATCTTGGGCAAGGGGATAGTGATCCCCAAGTCCCTCTCACTGACAAACCATCTTCTACTTTCTTTCTTTCCCTCAGGAGAAGCAGCCTACAGTGCTGCCATTCCCCCTGTTGCAGCCCTTTGCTCATGTCAAGGACATTCACACCACTTCTTCACTCAAGGTAAGCATCCGTGTACTTTTAGTTTCTTCTGACTCTCCAGACAGTCACAGCTCCAGGGTGTATCCCTGCACCTCTCTGCAGTAGGCACAAACTGCTATTCATGCAATCTCCTCTCTGGGGCAATTGGTCCTACAGAACAGCTCTGTATTTCATTTCCGACTTCCCCCTCCCCAGAGCCAATGGGAGATGGTGCAGCTCCCACGTGTTTCCCTGCAGCTCCCACGTGTTTCCCTGGTGCAGACTGGGTGGAATCCAACTGGAAACACCTGGGCTTCTGGTTAAGTCAGGGGATGAACATTGGTAAGATTTTCCTCCCCATCTAGGATCAAGTGACAATGCTTCAACTGTAATGGGTGCACTGAGGTGGGTTCCCTGTTACAGAGCAATAAACACAAGTATGACACCACATAAATCATAATATACAGGCAGTAAATCATACAAATAAAATACTGCTCATAAAGTACAGTGACTTCTATGGTGCCCAAGCCAGCTCCCCACCATCCATGATAACACCGCTTGGATCTCCATAAGCAAATGGTGACTAGCAGCAGAAATCAAGATTCGGTGTTCATCCTAACACAGCATATGGTTTAGGCAGCGCCAATGTGACCTTTTCTTTAGGTCTGACCTATGAAGAACAGCACTAAATTATGTATAATGGTTTTGTGATGAAAAGCAATGCCAATTAGATGGAGCAAGATGAGGCTATAAACATGCTGCACATAAAAATCAGAGAACAAACTTAAATCCCAGTCCCCAAACCAAAAGATTAGTGCTTTAACCACATATGATCCTGAAAGCTTCCTTCTGGAAATGAAGGTTAGATTTCTTCTGGCATGTCTACTGTGTGGTAAGGAGGGTAATTTAAATGATCTTGGAAATACACAGGTTAGACTTCTCATCCTTTTTCTCTGGGAGGTTTTCTGCTTTTAATACCATGTTTTCCAATCACAATTCAGGCCGTTTACTTGTAAGGTTAAAAATGGATAATGACTTTTCAGTCAATTGCTTTTGACTGTCAATGTGAAGCCTGCGTTACCATTCCACAATATCATTAAACAATCAATAGCAATTAGTGTCTAGTCAAGCCTGGTGTTTTAATCATTTAAATCAAAATGCCCATAATTGTAAATGTATGTAAATATTTGAAGATGTTTATTGTGGGGATTAATTTCATCCGTCTAGCAAAGGTTTCCAGAAGAATTAGTGAATATAAAGATTCCAGCCCTGATTCCTGGTTATATTGTTCCCCTACTTGGGGATGAACTGAAAGGGCAAAGCTAGCTTTATGCCAACTTTCCATTTCCTGGGTGATATCTTGCCTGGAGTTGATCTCAAATGTCCACCGGGATTTTACACCCTGTATTCTGGAGCTGGACTGAGACCTGCACATCCATTGTGTAAATTAGAACAGTCACAAGGTTGCTCTGGCATGTTCTTTGCTTTACATGATCCCTTTGGATCCTGGAGAATAGACTAATCCCAGCATAGTGCACTTTGGCCAGGCCCCATGTGACTGAAGCCGGACTGGCACAGAATCTGAATGCTTGCTCTGTAGAGGTAAAGGACCTCCTCTGTGCCATGAGTAATCATAGGAAATTCTTTCTACCCATTTTAATGCTCCTTTAAGCTGCCAGAGCATGATAAAGGGCTTTTGTGTAACTGGAACTCAGGGCTTCAGCATCTGGACTATTCTGCATTCTGACTTACACTGGGATATCTTCGACATTCACTCTCAGAGGGGTGCAATAGCACTTTGGTAACACTTGGATCCTATAATCGGCAGGCATATTTTGCCAATGGGTGCTTTGTACCTTGCTTTCAACAGTGATCATTGTATAAATGAAATATTGCTTCACGGTGGCTAGCTATATGCTGCACTGTGTCCCTCTTACTAGCACTCAGTACCCCTGTAATACCATCTAAGTTCATCAAAAGATGATTTTCCCTATTAAATAGACCAAATATGTTACAGAGTTGCATAACCTGAATGGCTTCTGAAGAGTAGAAGACAGGGTAGACTTGCACCTAAGAGATGCAAAGCATGCACTTTCGTGAGCAGAGGGCTTGCTTCATCAGACACTGCAAAGGGACTGAAGGAAGCAGAGATGCTGAATGGAAATCAGTGATTAGTATACAAGGGATAGGAAAGCGGGAGGAAAAAAGAGCTGCTTGTACACTCCATGGGGGTTTAATTTGGTTTAGTTCTCCCTAAATTGAAATGGTGGGTTTTTAAAAACACCACTTCAATTTAGGAAGAATTAAACCAAACTAAACCCCAATGGCGTGTACACAAGGGTAGGGGCCTGATTCTTACCTGCCTTTTCGGCGGCGGGGGGGAGAGGGAGGAGGCAAGCTGCTGGCAGGCTGAGCAGTCTCTGAGGCAGGCAGGGTCCAGGGAGAAAAAAAAAAGATCAGGCTCTCTGCTTTCTTTTCTTTTCTTTTTTTCCTTCAGTGGAGCCTGCCTGTACAGACTGCCGCTGGGCCCCACAGCCCCTGTGCAGGGCCCACCAAGCCCCAAGCATGTCGACTTCCAGCACCCCGTGCACTGTTGCGCTTTGTTAGGTAGCAAAGTCAAACACCTCGGAATAAAGAGGAATACGCTGCCAAACGTGCAAACAGCAACACCGTTAAAGTGGTGCAAAAGGGCATTTAAGCCACTTTAAAGGCCAATTTTGTGGCGTGTACAAAGGCCCAAGAGGACCATGCAATTCCTTAGACTCATATGTACAGAAGCAAACAGCGCACTCTACCCGAAGCTTAGCAATGTCACCAAGTGGGAAACATGTTAGCGAATTGCACTTTGGGCTTGATTTACTGACGCCCCTGGAAAAAAGACGTCCAGTGGCTTCGACAGGTTTTGGATCAGGTCCTTTTGAGCAAGAGGAGTTTCAAGAATTAGTTGCAAATATGTGGAAAGCTTCTATGTCCCCTCTTGGAAGCCATGTGGGAAACAACAGGGGAAGGTGCATGGAGCTGCTTCTGTTAATAGCTTAAGAAAGGTTAAAAAGGGCATTAGGAGGGTATTAGAGCATTAAATGGGATATTAGCTTGACATAAAGAAGTTTGGAAGAGGGATAAAAAGGCCATAATGCTTATGTTTAAGGTTTAATGTGGGACACTAAAACACAACAGCATATCACTCAGTTAATAGATTGATCTGAAGGTTAAAATTTTGGAGCCCTGTAATGACTTTTGTCTGGTAGTCCCATCC